AAACACTGAAATACACAGGTTTAGGAGGGTTTTGTTTGTTTGTCTTTAAAACTTTAAAAATAAAATAGCCTCAATTTAGGGAAATCCACTATTTAAAGTTGGCCTGGCACATCTATATGACAAGTTTTCAATTCCCATACTGAAACTTGAAATTTATTTTACATAGATATAAGGAGACTTCAGAAAGTTCAGAGAAGGGCCAGCCCGTGGCCTGGCGAAGGGGGCTGGATCCCACATGGTCCACTAAGCAGTTTGAGTCTTGGACCAGCAGTTTGAGGGATGTGCCAGTCAGGTGTGTGTGCTTGCCCAGAATCCTGGAACGGAGAAATGGAGATGGGATGGCAGCATAACCAGGAGACCATGAGGGTGTTTTCTGACTTTCTCTCTTCTTTGTCTCTTTGTCTCTCTGGTAAGTGCACACACCCTCTGGCAAAAAAAAAAAAAAATTAAAGCTTAAAAACGTTTTCTGTTTGAGAGGGACCAGCAGATGGTGTAATGGTACCGGTCTCTGGACTCCCATATAGTTGACCATGGTTCGAGTCCCAGACCCAGTGGCTTAAATTTCATGCTGGGCATGTGCCCAAAATCCTAAAAGGATAATGGAGGAGAAGGGACTATAGCATGGCCATCCCCTCTTGGGGAGGGGGGTGATTTCTCACTTTCTGTTTCTCTGTCTCTGCAGTGACTGCACACACGCTATAGCAAAAAAAGTTGAGAAAAGTAGAATTAAAAGACAAGTTTATTTTAGTGCAAAAAATATTTGAAATCCAGGTGTAGATTTTCCATGAACGTTCTGAAGACCTTTCTCATGTAATTAATACTTAATAAAAAGAAGAATTCATTATTTGGGGGGGGGAGGTTTTCGCTATAGGGTGCGTACGCTCACCAGACAGACAGAGATATAGAGACAGAAAGCGAGAAATCACCCCCCAGAGGGGATGGTCACGCCACAATCTCTTCTCCTCCATTCTCCTCTCGGGAGCTTGGGCATGCATGCACATGCGCCCAGCGTGAGTTTTAAGCCACCAGGTCTGGGACGCGAACCACAGTCAACTACATGGGAGTCCAGTGACATAGCCATTACACTAACTACTGGTTCCCAAAATAAGGATTCATTATTTAAAAACCCACAGAAAGACATGATAAAATTAAAGTTTCTCACAAAGTAATAGCACCTTTAATTAATAGGAGGGGAAATTGCTAAAGCAAAGCATTTTTTTTTTTTTGAGAGGTTTTCACTATAGGGCGCGTGCGCTCGTCAGACAGACAGAGAGAGACAGAGAGACAGAAAGCGAGAAATCACCCCCCAGGGGGCATGACCACGCCGCAATCCCTTCTCCTCCATTCTCCTCTCGGGATCTTGGGCGCACACGCGCCCAGCGTGAGTTTTAAGCCACTGGGTCCAGGACGCGAACCGCAGTTGACTACGTGGGAGTCCAGCGACATAGCCATTATGCTAACTGCTAGTCCCACAAGCAAAACATTTTATGTTTCTTTTTCCTTTTAGCAAATGGGCTTAAATAAAAACATGACATTTAAAAGCAAAAGAAACAAAACCAAAACACTTTCTGTCCAAAAAGTCAGACTTTAAAAGTTGTGAATCATTTACTAATAGAAGTTCACACCTTGGGCTGAGCCCTGTAGCTTGCTGGTTAAGTGAGCTGGATCCTATGTGACTGATTGCAGTTCAAATCCTGGTCCCACCTACTTGAAAAACACACAGGGCATGTGTGCCCCAAATCCCAACGGGTTAGAGCAGTGGAGGAGAGGGAATTGTAGCGTGACCGTGCCCCAATTGGTGTCTCTCTCTCTCTCTTCTCTCTGGTGAGCGTATATACTATAGGAAAAAATAGACGTTTACAACATAACCAGAGACAGGTTCAAGAAATTTAAGGAAGATATAGAAAGTAGTGTGGCAAGCCATAAATGCCATGTGACATTGGATGGAACTTTGAGGAAACTTAATAAGTGGAAGCTGGGGCCGGTGCATGGCATGATTGGGGGTGCTGGACTCCCACATGGCCGGCCACTGTTTGAGTCCTGGACCTGGTGGGTAACTTTCTTACTCCTCCCCCCTTTCTCTCTCTTACTCTGTCCCTCTCTAGTCAAATTTAAACAAATAAATAAAGTTAAATAAAATAATTTGTAAAAAAAGAAAAGTAGAAGCTGAGAGAAGGAATCTTTAGAAAACCAACCATGGAGGTCCTTGGAATGGCTAAGTAAAAGCATTGTGTTTTAAGATTTATTTATAACCTGACTCTGGAGTTCAGAGTATATTTTCTCAAAAGTAGTCATTGAATGACTTTCTTGGTCATTGAAAGTTCAACGTGGAATGCAGTTCTAGCTCAGATCAGCCGGCCAGTAACATAAATGGTGAAGCAGGCAGAGACTGTAACAGAAAGAGAAGGGGAGACCCCTGTTCTACCTGCGTCCGTTACTGCTAGGTCTTTGACTTGGGAAGGTCAAGACCTGGATTTGGTGTGAAATCTCAATTTCTTGTTGGCAACTCAAAATTTTAAAACATCCATCTTGAGTTGGATGGTCCCCTGAGCTGCCTGTTGACAACTAGTACGGGAGAAAGAACCGCCTCTACCATTTTCAGTCCTTACTGGAAGAACGTCACTGGACTAGCGTCTGACCTAACTTCCTTTTGGGGCCTCTGCTCTTCTCACTCCAGCCCCGAGAGCCTTTCGGCTGTAGGAGTTGTGGCAGTAACTCACATCTCAGCTGAGAGCCTGGGACTTTGCCTGGCCAACCTCAGTGGCTTTGTCAGGCCTCACAGACCAGAGCCTGCCTGCAGTGGCCTTATCTCCTGCCTTTTCACAGGACTCCTTCCTTCCAGCCAGCCTGCTCTCTGCTCATACGGTGTCAGCGACCTTAGCAGACAGTGCCTGCCCCTCTGAGCTTTAGCACATCCCTGACTCCTGTGCTGCAGTAACCGTCTCTGCTGGGGCCCCCTTGATCCAGATGCACTGGAATACGTGTGTGTTCTACTCTTGCGTATGCCTGAGAATTATTGATAGTTTATGGGTTATCTGCAAAAGGAGGGTACATATCCATTTATATCCGTTTATTCCCATATTCAGTAATTTCATTTTGCCTGACTTAGAATTTTTTGCTAATGGAATTAAACTGCTTTGCATATGAGGGTTTTTTTTTTTTGGGGTGGTTTTTGCTATAGGGCGCATACGCTCTCCAGAAAGAGACAGAGAGACAGAAAGCAAGAAATCACACACACACACACCCAGGGGGATGGCCATGCTGCAGTCCCTTCTCCTCCATTCTCCTCTCGGGATCTTGGGCACGCACGCACACATTCCCAGCGTGAGTTTAAACCACTGGGTCTGGGACTCAAACCATAGTCGACTACATGGGAGTCCAGCGACATAGCATAGCCATTACTCCAACTGCTGGTCCCAAGTTTTTTGTTTTTTGTTTTTTTAATTTCTGATTTTTTTCAGTTTGTGTGGCTCCCCAAAACTCTCTATATTCCTCTGCTACTTTATGAAGCACAGATCAGAACACAGTAGATGAATGAAAAGGCCGAGCATAGGTAGGCTTTCCTTGAGGAAGGGCCAGATGCTAGATAGGTAATAGAGGTGGAAAAAAGAAAGGAATTTTACTACCACACTGGAATTTCACCGTGGGAATGTAAGAATGGTAAGGAATTTGGGAGCTGAGAGGACAGAATCCTAAGAGTAAATGTTGTCATGACTCAAACTTCTTTGGACCATGAAGCTAAGAACTATTGAACTTTTACACCAGTCACAATCCGGAGCAGTTTACATTATCAGCTTGTTCCAGCCTCCCAACAACCTTATAGTCATTACTGTTATTCTGATGTTTAAGAAATTTTCATCAAAATGCTGTGCCTGAGGCTGGCACCTTAGCAATGATCAAGCCCTGCGAGTAGGGAGCTAGTGGTTTGAATCTCAGCCTTGGTGGCTTGAAAAATATGCTGGACAGATGTGTGTGTATGCCCAATAATCTGACTGGGTGGAAAGATGGAGGAGAAGGAGTTGTGGGGTGACTATGCCCTAATTGGGAGGTGCTGTCCTCTCTGGTGAGTGTATATACCCTCAGGCAATAAAAAAAATCCTGTGCCTGAAATCTTAACTCGTATATCAATAAAAATTTCATACTGCATTGACCATATCCCATGATGAGAAATATATTTTATATTTCACGTACACGGTGACCCATTATACGTAGGTTGACACATGTATGTGACAGAAGACTTCATTAAACGAAGTTTGTTTTTACTATGAATAGTGTGCTATAATGTTCCCTACTTTATCTAGTAAAGCTAGTTTTATTTATCTGTTGAAGCTAGTTTATCTATTAAAGCTTAGTTGACATGGGAACTTTCTAATGGGTTGTGACCTACAGTTTGAGAAGACGCTGCAGGTGCCATCTTGGTTCCTATGTCCACCATGTAGACACACAGCGTGTCCATCTACCTGTGTACACAGACAAGACTCTGCGTGTGCACAGCACTGACCACACTGGGACGCATTCTCAGTGCACAGACCTTTTTGTTGAGTACTAACCAGAGTGAAAATAACTAATTGCTTTGTGGATTTAAAGGAATTTCTGCTTGTGCAGTGCTAATGTTGCCGTGAAAAACTCATGGAAACTCAGAGTCGCAGAGACTTGAAATATGATGTCTTCCAGTGTCCCTGTCATGCCTTAATCCTCTGTGTCTTTTGTTCAGTCTGTGCTTGAAATGCCACCAGTTGGGAGTGGTTTCCCTTTCAGGGTACTCACTCCCTGTTTTTGGCTAGCAGGAACAGGCCCGTTGGTAGACTGAGCTCAAGTTTGTCTTCCTATAACCTCTTCCTCTTCATCTTTGTGGCCTCCCTCGTGTGAACCTCTGAGATGTTTGAAGAAGACTGTTGCGATTGCTGGCTTTGCAGAAAGGAGTCCTCGAAGGTGACACGGCAGCCATCACAGAAGCCTTAGCCTCTTCTAACCCGTGTGTGCTCACCTCCCTGTCACAGGACATGATGCACTGCACAGCCTTCGCCACCGCAGATGAGTACCACCTGGGACACCTGTCTCAAGACCTGTCTTCCCATGGATATGTTGAAGTCACGAGCTTGCCTCGAGGTACGTTTGATCCTAGGGCCACATATGTTAAAATGTGTTAGAAAATCATTTCTTCTGGTACCATCCTAAGTATACATCTGTTTGCCTTCCTGTTTTCTATTGAAAGGATTATGTTATAAAATTAGTAGTATAGAATCCCTTTATACAAATGACATGAATGTAAGTGACTAAAATGTTTTTACAGAGAACTTAGTTCTCAGATTGAAGTCGGTATGATTTAGTAAGCCTTATTTAGGGGATCATTATTACTTGGGGTGGTCATAGGTCATGCAACTTCATTTCTGTCACATTCAAAAATTATTTTTATGTTACAGAAGAACCATGAAATTGATAGAAACATTTCTTTTTCTGTAAATTTTTTTCAGCTCTTTCGAGTACACTCAAATCTAGTACTTTAAAACTAACAAAATGAGTTTAGATAGGAGATAAACACAGTATTTTTAAAGAAAATTTAGAAATAGACTTAGTTGAGAATGTGAGAATGAAGGATTCTTGACAAAATAGCCTGCTTTATATTATAAAATGAGTAACTTAGGACATTTTGACAGAAGAAAATTTTCTCAATTTTTTTTTTTTAATTGCAAAGTGCATTCATTCAACAAAGAGACTGAGATGGGGGGAGGGGAGGAGAAAGCATCCACCACTGGGGTGTGGTCACACCCCACTTCCTTCTCCTGTTCTCTATCCTGTTGGGATTTGGGGTATGCACACAAGCTCCAGGCATGTTTTTCAAGCCATTGGCTTCAGAATTTGAACTGCAGTCAGCCATGTGGGATCTAGCTCACTTAACCATTAGTCTGAGGAGCCAATTCTGATGGAAGAAAATTTTACAGTGAAATTCAAGATAGCCCAATATCCAGAAAAGTTATTAATTTACTCCGAAGTAGAGAAATTAAAAGGGTAGAAATCACCATCTACAGAGAAAGTTTGGGAGAGTCATTGACTGTAAGAAAGAGTCGAGAGCCTGCAGGTAGCATGGTGGTTACGGTGCTGGACTCCCACATGACTGACCACAGTTTGGTCCCAGACCTTGAGACTTGAAAATCACTCTGGGTGCTCGTACGTGCATGTCGAAAATCCAAGGAGGATAATAGAGGAGAAGAGATCACAGCATGGCCATCTCCCCAAGGGAGGATTTCTCACTTCCCTCTCACTGTCTCTCTCTTTCTCCAGCGACCACACTCCCCCTATAACAAAAAGCTCACATGCTTTGATGATAGGAACAAACTATTTGTGCTATTTGATGACAGTAGCGAGTTCACATGTCTGTGTCAGGTGCCCGTAAGGTCAAAAATTGTTTAGGGGGATTGTTGGCCGACCTCAAACCACCAGAGTGAGTTTTAAGCCACCAGGTCCAGGACTTAAACCACAGTCGACCATGTGGGAGACCAGCAACGTAAGCATTACACCATCTGCCAAGTCCCATGTGTTAAGCCCTTTTAAAAGCCTTAATAGAAAGATGGTGAATATGTTAAAGAGCACTTATGATATATGAAGAAATGATCGTAAATACTTTATTAAAGTGTTTATAGGTGACTCTTACATCTTGTGTCACTTTTTCATTCATTTATTTTAAAATCACAGATGCAGCAAATATTTTGGTGATGGGTGTAGAAAATTCTGCAAAAGAAGGTGATCCTGGAACAATATTCTTCTTTAGGTAAGGCAGGAAAGACACCCTGCTGGAAGGTGGGTGTCCTTTATCAGACTAATCTACCTCTTCTTGCTGTCTGTTCTTCCTTACAATTTCCTTCTCTCTGTTCCCCCTCAGTAGCTCTATAATCAGGTAATTATGGTCTTTATAGGTGTCAGTGGGCCTCTCTTTATTGTGAGTATGTTCAGAATGTATCTGTGGGGACCAGCAGATGGTGTAATGGTTACCTTGCTGGACTCCCGTGTTGTCTACCGTGGTTCAGGTCCCGGACCCAGTGGCTTCAAACTCAAGCCAGGCATGTGTGCGTGCCCAATATCCTGAAAGGAGAATGGAGAAGAAGGGATTGTAGTGTGACCACCACCCGCCCCCAGGGGTAATTTCTTGCTTTGTGTCTCTTTGTGGCCAGTGCAAGCGCCCGATAGCATAGCAGAAATCTCTCTTATCTGATCTAGGAGAGTTTGTCAGTTTTAGGAATCCTCTGGTATATAGAATTTTAGGAACAAGAAAGTAGTCATTTTCTTTACACAGGTAATCTTCCCCAGTTTGTCTTTCTTTGTAAATAAGGATTTTTATTGACTAAATTTCTGTGAAGCGTACTATTTTCCATAGAGGGATACCGAAGAGTGTCCTTTATCAGACTAATACTACCTCTTCTTGCTGTCTGTTCTTCCTTACAATTTTCTTCCCTCTGTTCCCCCTCAGTTGCTCTATAGTTAAAAGTTTTAGCTCACCTTACCTCTCCAGAGACTTCAGACAGGGACCGTGACTCACAGATACTTACTTCTTCTATTTAAAGGTTGTCTTAATGCCAGGTGCTCCAGAGTAGCTGACTAGAAATAATAGTAGAAACCATGTATAATAATCTCAGATTGGGCCGGCCTGTAGCCTAGAGGTTAAAGGATCCAGATCCCACGTGACTAACTGCAATTCAAGTCCTTGACCCAGCCGCTTGAAAAACACGCCATGTGCATGTACACGTGCAAGCATGCCTTAAATCCTGACAGGATAGAGACATGGAAGAGAAGGAATTACAGTGTGATTACTCCTCAATGGGAGGTGCTTTTCTACCGCTCTCTCACTCTCTGTATCTCTGGAGAATGCATGTGCCCTCTGGCAGTTCAAAAATAAAGATAATCTCATAGTATCCTCTCCATACTTGAGGAAGGTCTATTCTCATTTCACAGCAAAGCACGCTGAGAGTGAGTTGCCCATGGTCACCAAAGTGTAAGTGGCACAACAGGTGCACCTGGAACATTCATAAGAACCCAAACGGAGGTTTTATGGTCTTAGTTCTTAGAGTTGATGGCCACTGGAAGCCTTATCTTTGTGCCTGTTGATATATCCTTCCTTTTGACCTTAACTTTAGAGATAATCAAGATTTTTCACATTAGTCCAAGTAGAATAATACCGTCCTTATTGCTTCAAGTGAAGAATTTAGATTTCTGAAGGCATCTAGATCAGCACTGTCTAGTAGAAGTTGATAGAATGGAGAAATAGAAGAAAGAGGACCATGACTGTGCCCCATTGGGAGAGTTCTCTCTCTCTGTCTCTTTCTCTAGAGAGTGTGTGTGTCTTCTGACAGTAAAATTATTTTTACTCTCTAATTAACTTTGAACAGCACAAGTAATATATGTTGCCCAAGATTAATTTTAATAATGTATTTAATCCAGCATATCTAAAATATCATTTGACCATGCAGTTAATAAATAATGTCCCCTACTCTTCCTTCCATGCTAAGTGTTTGGAGTTCACTGCGTATTTTCAACTGAGAGCACATCTCGGTTTGCTCAGGCGTATATCTAGTGCTCGATAGCCATGTGCTTCAGAGCACCATGGTGCACAGCGTGGCTCTAGGTGGAGGGTGCTCACTTCGCTAGACCTCTCTTCTGCCCAGCAGTGATTCACGCAGCTCACACTGGGATTGTCCTCTAAACCCCTCTCCAGGCCATGTCCTGAGACCCTATCCTGGCCTGTTGCAACAGCCTATGTGCCAGTAGCCCTGCCTGCTCACCCACCACCAGCTATTTTCTGTTCTAGGTGGGGTCGCTCCTCAATGGGCACTTCTGGTCTCCACACACTGCTTAAAGTTCCATGGAATCTGACCAGATTCTTTGTCCTGAGTCTTAAAGGGGTTGGCTCCTGCCTGCTTCTCTAGCCTGACTGCCTACCCTTGACCACAGCCAGACCATGTGGCTACTAGCGATTTAGTCTGAGGGCCTTGTGTTCCCCACCTCCCTGCCTCCCCGTCTCCCCAGGAGCCTATGCTGGTCCTCTGCTGTGGTGTCTCCTGTTTTCTCCTGTGGCTTGCTCTGCTGGTGTTTTAGGAGAGGGAGCTCTGTGCCATACATCCCACAGTACAGTCTGCATGACTCTTAATTGCACTGAGCACGCACTGGTGTAACTGGTGGTCCGAATGCCAGCCTTTTCTAGATTGGGAGTTCTTTGGGGATGGAAACCGATCATACTTAACTTTTTATCCCAGATGCTAAGCACAGACCCACACCTGTGCTAAAAGCACATGGCTTAAGCAGTGTTTAAAAATGACATGGGGTCAGGGACCAGCAGTTGACATAATGGCTATGTCGCTGGACTCTCACGTGGTCGACTGCAGTTTGAGTCCCAAACCCAGTGGCTTAAACTCACGCGGGGCGTGTGTGTGTGCATTCCTGAGAGGACAATGGAGGAGAAAGGATTGTGGCGTGGCCATTCCCTCCTGGGGAGGTGATTTCTCACTTTCTCTCTGTCTCTCTCTTTCTGGGGAGTGCACATGCCCTATAGAAAAAAACCTCTCCAAAGGAAAAAAATATATGGGGTCATATTTATCATTCTTTCATTACACCTTTCCATCCTCCAGTGCACTAACCCACAGCTATGACTCTTCTTTTTATTTCCTATCTGAAACAGCTCAATACATCAAACTTCAAGAATGACAAGTTGATTTATAGTTCTTAGACCTTAAATTCTGTCACCAGAATCAGGTTGAGAGGCCTTCCAGCGGCTTCTTGAACTTCTGTTCTCAGCACTGTAGGGATGGATGAGATAAGTCCAGAGAGCATTTTAGCCGCTGGAGGCTGGAATGGCTCTCATTATCTTTATTCCACAACTATTAAACATGTGACCCTTTATGCTTTGCCCATAGCAGAATCTTCCTCAGGACAGCTATGACGAGGTCTCAAAAAATTTCCTTATTCTGATTTCTGCACATCAGAATTGAACAAGGTATGGAAGAGACTAGACATGAAGTTATACAATATTACAGTAATAGCTGTTTATTTTTGGAAACCATGTGAAAAATCACAGATTTTTCTGAAGTTTTGTTCAGAATCAAAAAGTCACTCTGATTTTAGCAAGTCCATCTAGGGACCGTATTGTCAAACTAGCCAATGGATGTGTTTTTTAGAATTGTGTTCCAGAGAGAGGCTAGAAATTACCTAAGCCTGACTTTCTATATGACCCTAAAGAATATTTTGTATCTGGGACCAGCAGTTAGCGTAATGGCTATGTCGCTGGACTCCCATGTAGTTGACTGCTGTTTGAGTCCCGGACCCGGTGGCTCAAACTCACACTGGGCGCATGTGCATGCGTGCCCAAGATCCCAAGAGGAGGATGAAGGAGAGGGGATTGCGGCGTGGCCATCCGCCCTGGGGGGTGATTTCTCGCTTTCTGTCTCTCTGTCTCTTTCTGTCTGTCTGGCGAGCGCACTTGCCCTATAGCCAAAAAAAAAAAACCTCTCCAAAAAAAGAAAATTTTGTATCTTCAACTTAGTTTTTTCTTTTATTTTTTTTTAACCAGGGTAGGAGCTGCTGTGTTTTGGAATGTGAAAGACAAGACTGTAGTTAGCACTCAGTAGTTTAAGATCTTAGATGATAGATTAACAGAAAACCACAACTTTTTTGCTCTGCATTACATGGCTTTTATCAGGTTCATCTTCCAAAATACATTGTATTTGGCTTATTTTCAAATCTCCTACATTTCACATTCTCTGCACCTACACTAACGTGGAGAATCAGAACCACCCTAGCTATTCTGCAGACAGAAAGAAGTATACTTCGCATGTGATGATGTACAAAATGAAAATGTCTACACAGCTCATTGGTAGTTAGTTGCATTGAGTCTCAGATCAGATTTTCTAGAACTTATCACACATAGGAAATCATTTCTTTAGTATCGGAATCAGGGTTTGTTTAATACAACCTGTTTAGAGACAATTTGGTATATTTAACCTGGCAATTTTACACCCAGAAAGTTATCTAAAGGAAATAATGACAGTTATGTTCAGAAATGTTCACCAAAGCATTATGTATAATAGCAAGAGTTAGAAATAGCTAAAGACAGTAGAAAAACTGTTAAATACATCCATAGGATGAAATGTACTGCAGCTCGTAAAACTCATGTGGGAAAAGATCTGTTCCTGGGCAACTGTGTGTATGACACAGTTCAGTTAAAACAGGCTACAAAATATAACCAGCACAGTATCGGTCTAGTTAAAAAAATGTGCTTCATACAATCCTAGTTTTACTAAAAGGAAATACATATGCACACACAGTGAGGGAGAAGGGGGAGAGAGCCTAGAGGAAAAAAATACAAGTGACCAATAAATGTAATAAAAACATAAATTGACGACCTGGAGTTACTGACTGCCCGTAGCGCATGTTGTTGCTTTCAAGAATTATTTATTTAATTTTATGTATTATTATCTTTTAATTTAAGGTATGTACACTCACCAAAGAGAGACAGAGAAAGAAAGGGAAAGTGAGAAAGGAAGCAACCAGATCCGGGACTCAAACCACAGTCAGCCATGTGCGAGTCCAGTGCCTTAAGCACCATACACCTGCTGATCCCCATACCATATGTTTTTTTTAACAGTGCTCTTATAAATGTTTGGATTCTAAAATTGAAAAAATTATTTTGGAGAGTTTAGCAGTGTGTATCAAAATTATATAAATGCAAATCTTCCAAACTACAATTGCTAAAGAAATATTTTCACGATGCCATGAAGCTATCTGCATAAGGATGATGCATTATGGCATTGCAATAGTGGAGAGTGGAAATAATCCCCCACTGATGGATGTATAGGTTAGTTAAATACATCATGTTTCTCCCATTAAGCAGGATAGTATTGAAAATGTTGATGGGCCGGCCAGTGGGCAGTGTGGAGGTTAAGGTGACTGGATCCCAAATCGCCAACTATGCAGTTCAAGTGCTAGAAACAGAGGCTTAAAAACATGCCAGGTACATGTGTGTGCATGCCCAGAGTCCCAAGAGGAGAATGGATTACAGTGTGGCCATCCCCCGGGATGAGGAGTGATTTCTCACTTTCTCTCTCTCTCTCTCTCTCTCTCTTTCTTTCTCTCTTTCTCTCTCTCTCCCTCCCTCTGTCTCTTTTTCAGGGTAGTGCACACTCCCTGTACCAAAAACTCAAAAAAAAAAAAGTTCACAGTATGATCTCGTTTCATATAAAAAGCAAAATATGGGGCCAGCTGGTGGTCTGGTGGTTACGGGCACTGGACTGACACATGGCCAACCAAGATTCTAGTCCGAGATCTGCCAGCTTGCTTTCTTACTTTGTCTCTTTCTCTCACTCCGTTCCTCTCTGGTCATATCTTAAGTAATTAACTTTTAATTAATTAAAATTCAGTAAAATCATTCTTTAAAAAAATAAAAAGCAAAATAAAGGATACACATACACACATAGAAAAAAAAAAAATCCAGGATAGAAAGATATGTACCAGGTTTGAGTATGGTTACCTCTAGGGATTAGGATTTCAGGAGAGCAGAGGTCATTTTCTTCCCTTTTTTTGGAGAGATTTTTGCTATAGGGTGTGTGTGCTCAGCAGAGAGACAGAAAGCAAGAAATTACCCCCAGGGCGATGGCTATGCAATCCTTTCTCCATTCTCCTCTCGGGATCTTGGGCATGCACGCACATGTGCCCATTGTGAATTTAAGCCACCAGGTCCAGGACTCGAATCACATTCAACTACATGGGAGTCCAGTGACATAGCCATTATGCAAACTGCTGATCCCTCTTTTTTTTTCAAAGAGATTTTTGCTATAGGGTGCATGCTCTGGCTAGAGAGACAGAAAGCACCCCACCCCACCCCTCCACCAAGGAGATGGCCATGCCGCAGTCCCTTCTCCATTCTCTTCTTGGGATCATGGGCATTCAGGCACATGCACCTGGCTTTTTTTTTTTTTTTTTTTTTTTTTTTTTTTTTTTTTTTTCTTTGAGGGTTTTTTTTTTTTTTTTTTTTTTTTGCTATAGGGTGCGTGTACTAGCCGGAAAGACAGAGAGAGACAGAGAGATGGAAAGTGAGAAATCATCTATCTTCACACACACACACACACACACGCGTCTGGCGTGAGTTTTAAGCCACCAGGTCCAGGACGCGAACCACGGTCGACTACGTGGGAGTCCAGCGACATAGCCATTACGCTAACTGCTGGTTCCCGCGCCTGGCATGTTTTAAGCTGCCAGGTCTGGAACTCGAACCACAGTCAACTACGTGAAAGTCCAGTGACATAACTATTACAACTTCTGCTGGTTTCAGATGGTCATTTTCTATACCTCTGCGTTGCCTAAATTTTTATGAGTATATTGCCCTTACATTTTTTTTTGAAATTTAAACAATGTAAACTAAAATATTGTTAGTCGTTTGTGTTGTAGGATAATAATTTTTATATGCTTCATGCTCATTTGTTTTTGTAAGTATAAAAGCAAGTGAATGTATCATCCTGATCAGGTTAATGTCACCATGAATTTGCCTTTTCCTTAAAAACTAAGCAACAGAGGGGCCAGCAGGTGGCATGGTGGTTAAGGTGCTAGACTCCCATGTGGCTGACTATGGTTCATGTCCTAGACCTTGTGGCTTGAAAATCACATTGGGCACATGTGTAGGCATGCTCAAGATCCCAAGAGGAGAACAGAGAAGAAGGAATTGCAGTGTGGCCATCCACTCTGATTTCTCACTTTCTCTCTCTGTGTGTCTCTGTCTCTCTCCTGTGAGTGCATGCACTCTGTGGGGAGAAAAAGAGCAATAGAAAACATGGCATAAAAAGGATTGAAAAATGTTAGGAGCATTAATACCACAACATAATTGTACTAAGGACATCAGTTTTAATTTCAGGTGAATCTTCCTTTTCTTCTAGATGAAGCACGTGATGCAAATTCTAGAAAAACATGAAATTCAGCCCTATGAAATTGCATTGGTGCACTGGGAAAATGAAGAGCTTAACTACATAAAAACAGAGTAAGCAACCTTTTATCAAATTTAAAAGGGCACTTGGAATAAACTAGGTAAAGCAGTAAAGGAGATAAATTATTCATGAATACAGACTCATTTTAAGAAAAAAGTTATTGCTACAGATACAAAGCCTAAAACATATAATAAACATTAGTGAATAAACTACTTCTTTTAACTTCTTAGGCTACCCACAGATTAAAACAAGTAGACAGTATAAAATGGGAAGTTTAAATTTTCTAAGCAGACTAAATCAATAAAAGATATATCTTCATCCAGTAAAGTTTGCCCTTAAGTAAATTTATTTTTTTCTATTGACTTTAGGTATAAAAAGGAAGTGTAAGAAGGGGTCAAGGGCCAGCAGGTGGTATGGAGGTTAAGGCTCTGGATCCCTTATGGCAGACAGCAGTTTGAGTCCCAGACCCAGTGGCTTAAAAATCATGCTGAGTGCATGTGCATATGTGCCCAAAGTCTCAAGAGGAGAATGGAAAAGAAGGGACTGCAGCATGGCCATCCCCCCGGGGGATGATTTCTCAGTCGTCTCCGTCTCTCTCCAGTGTGTACATGTGCCCTGTGGCAAAAACCTAAAGGGGGGAGCTGTCTAAGAATCACTTGTTAAAATGAGGGTCCCTGCAGAAAGGAGGAGCCTGTGTGCCATTCTCAGGTAAAAGGGTAGGCAGCGGACTGGCTGGTTTTCCTGGCAGCCAGAGTGGGAATGAAGAGGTTCATGAGCAAGATGGGTCTTTCTTCGTGGAGTTACCTGCCCACTAGAATATGAGAACTAAAGTCTGTCGGTTCCTAAGGTAGGAAGTGTTGACAGCAGAGCTTTAGGAAAATCAGAGGCCCCAGCTGCACCAGGATCAGGTGGGAGAAGGGCTACGTGGTAACAGCCCGGGGCTTCAGGTGCTTGCCAGCTGCCAGGCACTGTTCTTTCCCCCATTTGCTTCCCAGGGAGCATCTCATTTTATCTGCCCAACCCTGCAGTTGAAGCTAACTGCTTTCAGATGAGCTTCAGAGAAGTTTGGTCCTCCTAAGGCACGGACTAGTGAGTGAGGGCCAATTACCTGAAGTTGTAGACCTGAGGCCAGGATGTCAGGAGCTCCTGGAGTTTTCTTCATTGTGTCATTTAGCCCTTGGCCTGCGGGATGGTTCCCATGGAGTCCCTTCTCTGTTTGACCTCCAGACCAAACTTGCTTCCCAGACACTCCTGTCTTCCACACACACACACACACTGCATGGAGTAAAGTCAACTCTTGGGATGCCAGAGTTGGATTGGGTTTCATCAGAAAGCCCTGTGTGAGGCCTGCTTATGATTTCAGGAATCTTCTGCCTCCTTCAGGCCCATGGCATTGTCTAAGCTCCTTCATAAAACATCTTGTAAATGAAGGTTTTGGTTTTGTTTTCTGGTCTTTTTTTTTTTTTTAAGTTTTCTAAAGAGCATGTGCACTTGCTGGAAAAGAGAGAGAGAGAAAGAAAAATCGCCCCCTAAGGGGACGGCCACACTGCAATCCCTTCTCCATTCTCCACTCAGGATGTTGGACCTCCACGCACACACACCCAACTTGTGCTGCTGAGTCTGGAACTCAACCCATGAAGTCGGCCATCTGGGATCCAGCTTTCTAATCCATCACCTGCTATCTTTCTTCCCTAACCCCCACCTAACTTGTCAGAACAGTGGGTGCCTTTCAGCCCCCCGTAGTCCTCGTCCACCTCCCTTTGCCCAATGTCTGACTCCTGTCAGTCGTGGGGGTTTCCCAGGTACTTTGTCCATTTACTTGTGATGTCCCTGCTCACGTGTTCCCTCCCTCTGCTCCTCCCCAATCCCTTTCAGGGTTCTCTGCAGTTGCACCTTAGTTTTTCACAGCACTCCTGCCTCCCCCCACATCATGGGATTTTAGATTATGCCATGTATGTAGTTGTATATTTAGTGTTTTCTCACTCAGCAATGTGCCATGAACATTTTCCATTTCTATTAAACGTCCTTCCCAAACGTGCTGTTTAATTTTTGTTTTGTGGAATTAATAATTATTGACCTATCCTTCTATTCAACATTTAGTTGTTTTCTTAATTTTTTACTATTAAACTTTTGACTATAATAAGGTTTTTGTTCTCAAATCTTTCTTAGCATCTTTGATTATTTCCTTACAATACATTTCTGGAATTATTTAGATCAAAGAGTATGGGAGCATTTATAATAGTGTCATGCAAATTGTCAAAATGACCTCCAGAAAGACTATAAGGTGACTTTTTTATTTTTTTAAGATTTAATTTTTTTTATTATTATTACATATTTTTTTATTTGACCAGAGAGAAAGCAAACCGCCAGGCCGACCATGACCGGCCGTGTGGGAGTTCAGTGCCTTAAGGACCACCCCACCTGCCAGCCCAATGAGACTTCTGATTTTTTTTTTTTTTTTTTTTGGAGAGGTTTTTGCTATAGAGCACATGCACTCCCCAGAAAGACAGAGACAGAGACAGAAAGTGAGAAATCACCCCCCAGGGGGGATGGCCACACCACAATCCCCTCTCCTCCATTCTCCTCTTTGGGTGTTGGGCACATACACACACACACCCAGCGTGAGTTTAAGCCACTGGGTCCGGGACTGAAACTGCAGTTGACTATATGGGAGTCCAACAATATAATCATTACGCCAACTGCTAATCCCCCAAAGTGATTTATTTTTAAAAGAAAACTTAAAGTGCTTTTTAGGATTTAGAAGATACTTTTTATTTTCTTTTCACAGAGGGCAGTCAAAACTTCACAGAGGAGAAATCAAGTTAAATTCAGAGCTGGATTTAGATGATGCCATTCTAGAAAAATTTGCTTTCTCCAACGCTCTTTGCCTCTCAGGTAAGTTACTACTGCTTGTCCGAAAAGGCACCACACAGTTCTCATTTCATGGAGGGAAGTTCAAGTGCTGAGGAACGATTTGGGCATGCTTTCACAGAACACTCAACAGCCTTAGCGTTCCTATTCTTTTTCTCCACCGACAAGGAGAATATTTTGTTGATATCATAAATATTGTATCCATGCTGAAATTACTTGTTTCTTATTAAATATGTCGATAAGGCTTACCTTCTCTAATAGTAATGTTTATACTGTTGTCGCCCTGTTTCCTTTTCTCTTGCTCTGTGTGATGATGATTCTCAGGAGTGTCTGATCCAGGCAGACAGTCCAGCCCCATGTGATGGGGCACAATCTTCTGCATAGAAAACCACTCTCGTGGGTCACAGGACTGGGGCGGAGTCACAGTGGCTCCATGCCCTGAGTCACACCGTGGAAGTTCTCTGAGAATGGCTTTGCCTCCAGTCTGCGTTAGACACCCTCCTCCCCCCACCCCCATCCACCACACCCTGTGTGTGAAGCGACCGAGGGAAAGTCTCACTCCTGCCCCCACCTCAGAGCTACCGGTGGTGTTAAGGTGTACTTTACACCCTCCAGTTTCCGAGATGTCATGTTAGAAAACCAGGAACTTGGCCCAGCCTCCATGGTACAAGGGTCGCGTGCTGATCTGCCATGCTCAGAGCTGCATGGTCAGATCCCCAGCTGAGCTGAAAAGACCCTAGGGGTGCGCACATTCCATCTGAGATCTTGAGAAGGTAGAGGGTTGGGGAGAGGGGATTGCGGTGTGCTAAGACTCTGTCAAGGGTACCCTCTCTTGCTTTTTTTCTCTTTCTCAAGAAATAAGTATAGGGGCCAGCAGATGGCCTAGTGGATATGTTGCTAGACTCCCACAGAGCTGGCCATTGTTCAAGTCCTGGACCCAGTGACTTGAAAATCACACTGGGCACGTGTACATGCATGCCCAAGATTCCAGGAGGAGAATGGAGAAGATGGTGGCATGGCCATCCCCCCGGGGAGGGGTGATTCCTTACTTTTCTTCTCATTGTCTCTGTCTCTGTTTCTGTTTCTGGCCAGTACACACACCCTATGGCAAAATCCTCTTTAAAAAGAAAAAAAGAAAGAAAGAAAAGAAAGAAACTGTTAAATAATAGACCCTATGGCAAAATCCTCTTTAAAAAGAAAAAAAGAAAGAAAAGAAACTGTTAAATAAGAGTAATAATAATAATAAGGAATTCCAGCAAATATAGTTTTGGTCTGCCAAGAGAGCTTGGAAATCTATTCGGTTTCCTTTTTTTCTGTTTCCATTATGTCCTTTATAATAACTGTTCTGAGGGACTAGAAAGTGGTGCATTGGTAAACACTCTGCAGGGCTGAGCCACATGGAAGGTTCTGGGTTCATACCCAGAGATCTCCCTGAGTATGCTGGGCATGTGTACCCCGACCCAGGACTGGCTAGAGCGGGGGTCATAGCATCAGGACCCTGTTGGGGGGGTGCTGTTTCTCTCTCTTTCTCTCTTATCCAAGGAAGAAATAAATAAATATATATTTTTTAAATAACTGTTCTTTCATTTTAGTTTCAGGATTATAGCTCATATGCTTCTTAAGCTATTGTTAAAATGTTAGTGAAGGTACAGTGTGATTTATGCATTCCATGTAGGTGTGAATAAAGAAATGTTTCATTGTTGACTTTTTTGCTATTTTTTTTCCCCAGTGAAACTGGCTATTTGGGAAGCATCACTGGATAAGTTCATTGAATCTATTCAGTCAATTCCAGAGGTAATTCGACCAGTTTTATAGTTGTTCTTAAAGTTTATTTGTGTTTGGGGGAAATACATATTTTCCCATTCAATCATATATAGGATTGTCGGAAAAGTCATGACGGATTTTTCTATGCAAAAATGTGTCATGATTTTTCCGACGACCCACCTATGTAGGATTCCAATAAAGTAATAATGAACATTAGGTAAGCTGTAATAATTTGAGCAAAACAACCTTCTCAGTTACATATAAGATGGTGAAATAAACTTTATATTAATATTATTTTTAAAATTTCATATTACTTTCCTCTAATGATATAATATTTTGAATATAACTGATAATTAAAGAAGAAAGTGAAATCTCTTCTGGAAGGCAGATTATTGAAACCATTTCTTGATTTAAAAAAGTGTTTTGCTCAATTGTGAGAAAAACAGTGGCATAAAAATTTATTTAATACATAAAATTATAAATATATTATTAAAATTTCAAAATGCATTGACATTTTTTGATACTATTTTATTTTTTAATAATTTTTTTAAGAATCTTTTTTTTTTTTTAATTTTAATTTGGCCAGAGAGGGACAGAAAGAGGGAGAGGAGGAAAGTGAGAAAGCAACCTGCCAGATCCAGGACTTGAACCTTAGCCATGTGGGAGTCTAGAACCGTTAATCACCATGCCACCTGCTGACCCCACTATAATCTATTTTTACTGTGACAGAATAATTTAATTATACTTGAGAGAAAAGGCCCTGATGTTTCAATAGAAGTTAGGGATATGTATTGTAGGAAATGCTGAGAAAAAGGAATATGAAATTTCTACCCAATAAGATTTTGAAATCTCAGGCCGAGTTAAAACATACATCTGGGAGACAGTTATCTAAGAGGTATTTACATATGATCAAAATTAATGCCCCTTTTGAAATTTGTATTATGGACCTAATACTTAATTGGAGAGACATGTGTATGACTTTTTCCCCTCCCAATAGGCTTTAAAAGCTGGGAAGAAAGTGAAACTATCTCATAAAGAAGTTATGCAGAAAATGGGTGAACTCTTTGCCCTAAGGTAAAATTTTCTCTTGTAAATAAAGTATTTCGTGTAGTTACAACCTCAAGAAACCATTCCTATAGACCTACAGTAAAGACCAAACATTGACACCTCCATGGGAATTATAGCTCTTTTCATTTCATTGATTGTAAGCAGGAATAACTCCTGCCCATTCAAATCAGTTGAGCTGAGGCCAGCAGGTGGTGTGGTGGTAAAGGTGTAGGACTCCCACATAGCCATCCACATTTCGAGTTCTAGGCCTGTGGCTTGCTTTTCTCACTGTCTCTCTCTATATATATCTGGCCAGCCAGGTCCGAGACTTGAACCACGGTTGGCCGCGTCCAGCACCTTTAACCACCATACCACCTGCTGGCCCCAAAACTAATTAAATCTTAAAACAAGCAAACAAAAAAAAAAACACACACACAACAGTTGGGTTGTATTAGGGCTGTACTGGAAGAAATTATGCATGGACAAAGGAGATCATAATTGATCTACTTTAAACCCACATCAGGTAATACAGTAGAAATTTTTTGAGAGATTTTTGCTATAGGGTATGTGTGCTCGCCGGAGAGATGGAGACAGACAGAAAGACAAAGTGAGAAATCACCCCCCCGGGGGGGGTTGTTGGTCATGCTGCAACCCCTTCTCTTCCTTTCTCCTCTCTGGATTTTGGGCATGCACACACACATGCCCAGCATGAGTTTCAAACTGCTGGGTCCAGGACTCGAGCTACAGTCAGCTACACAGGAGTCCACCGACGTAACCATTATGCCATCTGCTGGTCCCACAGTAGTTTTTTGAAGGTAGAAAGAGACATTTGAGAATTTGGTTCATGGGAACTCTCAGAAAAAAGGTATCACTGTGTCCTAATGCTAAACGGACCCAGTTGCGATCAAAAAGTTATGTGCCATATTTCACTGAATCTGACACACTGTAAGATTCCACAGGCGGCCGGAAATGCTGCAGATAAACTGCGGTGGTGCTTTTATATCACAGAGTTTAAATATAACACTTACGGAAATAGCCCATTTAGTCTGACTTGGATGTAGATTCTGTCGCATTCCCCCTTGAGCAAACATAAAAAGGAAAGCGTAAGGGGAAGACATTGTTTAGGGCAGTGACAACTAAGCCACAACTGCCACCTGTAAGACACCACCACCTTTAAGTTACCTCCCATTCTCAGACGTTAAATGGGAAGAATTGTGTCTTAAAATGATGAAACAGAGAAATGTATAATTTTAGATAATGTCTGGAAAGGTTTTCTGCTTTATTTTTATCATTTTCCCACGATTTACTGAGTGAGACATGCCAGATGTTGATGTTTTTCTTCCTGGGCAGCATTGTCCGGTGTCATCCCTTCCGGCACGTGGAGACATCCCTGAGCTCATTGCAAATGCTTTCCTCAGACTAGTCTCCCTCGTTCTCCTCAGACGCTCTGCCCAGAGAGGAGAAGTGGTCCAGCATTTCATCATTTGCTGATGAAACAGATGAAAAGCGTATGCCTATTGTAAACTTTTTAAAATGACAACAGAAACAGCCTTAGAAATTAAAAATGAAATGAGCTTTTTTTTTTTCCCTAACCATAAATGACATTGGTATTATAGATTGAAATCATTTGGCTGAGAATTTTGAAAGTTTTTTGTATAATCTTTCCTATTTACATGTATCCTTTTTTTAAGAATTATTTTATTTAACTTTATTTGTTTATTTATTTATTTTAATTTGACCAGAGAGGGACAGAGCAAGAAAGAGACGGAAAGTTAGAAAGGAAGCCACTAGGTCTGGGACTCGAACCACAGTTGGCCATGGGGGAGTCTAGCATCCCTAACCACCATATCACCTGCTGGCCCCCAATTTATAAAAATTTTTAAGTATTTTGATAAAGAAAGCATTGGGACCAGCAGTTAGCGTAATGGCTATGTCGCTGGACTCCCACGTAGTTGACCGTGGTTCAAGTCCCGGACCCGGTGGCTTAAACTCACACCGGGTGCATGTGCGTGCGTGCCCAAGATCCCAAGAGGAGAATGGAGGAGAAGGGATTGCGGCATGGCTATTCCCCTAGGGGGTGTTTTCTCGCTTTCTGTCTCTGTCTCTCTCTGTCTGTCTGGCGAGCGCACGCGCCCTATAGCAAAAACCTCTCTCCAAAAAAAAAAAAAAAAAAAAAAAAGCATTAAAGAAGTTTTCATAGTGCACCACATAGATATGAAATACAGAAAGGATGATTTTAATTCGAGGTAGATAAAAGGTTATCTTTTTTTTTAAGGCATCGTATCAATTTGAGTTCAGACTTCCTAATCACTCCTGATTTCTACTGGGACAGAGAAAACCTGGAAGAACTTTATGATAAAACTTGTCAATTCCTTAGCATTACTCGAAGAGTTAAGGTATGTATTTTGTACTTTCCTGAGAAAGACCGTTGTTGTTTATAATTCTGTGACTATGTGAAGAGAAATTTTAAGTTAAGTGGATTTTTGGTATAGGGTACGTGTACTCACTGGAGAGACAGACAGAAAGTGAAAAGCCACACCCAGGGGAATAGCCACACTGCAGTCCCTTCTCTCAGGGTCTTGGGGACACACGGCCATGTAGCCGGCGTGAGTTTTAAGCCACCAGGTATGGGACTTGAACCGCAGTCAACTACATGGGAGCAGCAACACAACCATTATGCCATCTGCTGGTCCCAAGTGCTATGTTTAACTCTGTGGAGAACTGTCTGGCTTGACTTCTATTCCAGTCTCTTTAGATTTCCCCTTCCTCTTCGTATCCTAGCTACGGCCAGTTTTTATACCTTTTCAAAGGATCTTCTGGTATTTGCTCTGCAGCTGAGTCAAGACTGGTGTGAGTTGAGGCCCCAGTGGTCCCTTAAAAAGTTCTTGTCATGTTTCAAGCAAGAGTTCATGGTTCTGAACAATAACGGTGACAGCGAGAGTAGAAATGAATTTAAGAAGGAATTCTTTAGGATGAAACAAGGGACTGGCAGTGGGAGGCCAGGGAGAAGGAAGACTAAAGGGTGGCTGAAGCTTGCCTGCTGGTGAGAGGTAGAAAAGGGGCAAACAAGGAGAGGCTGGGGGCACCGTAGCCAGCTAAATTTAACACAAGCCGAGATTAGAGTAGCAACAGATAGCCAATTAGAACTACACACAGGCACTTAGAAGTGTGGAAGCAAAGTTGAGAAAGAAAATACTGTACCCAGGAAATGTTGAAGTGGGAAGGCTGCAGGCAGACCCCATGAGGGAAGAGCACAGGAAAGAGAAAATGGTGTCAGTATGACACGTGCACGTAGTCCTGACGTCCCACCACAGGAGTAGATCCACATAACCACACAGTCAAGACACTGAGCCATTTGCTGCAGAAATCCCCTTAGACAGCCCCTTCATGGTCACACTAGCGCCCCCGCAACCCCTAACTCCTGGCAGTAAGTAATCTCTTCTCTGTTCTATAATGCTATAATTTTGAGGATGTCATGTAAATAGAATCACACAGTACCTGATCTTTTTTCAGGTTTTTGTAATAGGGCGTATAAGCTCACCAGAGACAGAGGGAGAGGGAAAGGGAGAAAGCAAACCCCAGGGGGAATGGCCACACCACAGTCCCTTCTCCTCCATTCTCCCTCAGGATTCTGGGCACTCACACACATGTACCCGGCATGATTTTCAAGCCACTGGGTCCCGGATTTGAAACACAGTCGGCCATGTGGGAGTTCAGTGTCTTCACCATCACGCCACCTGCTGGCCCCCAGTATCTGATTTCTAAAATTGGCTTTTTTCAGGCCAGCCAGGTGGTGTGGGTTAGGGGACTGGATCCCACATGGCTGACTGAAAAGTGAAAGTCCTGGACCTGGTGGCGTGGGAAATGTGCTGGGTGCATGCACGTCCAAAATCCAGAGAGGAGAATGGAGAAGGGATTATGGCACGGCTGTCCCCCTTGGCAGGGGGTGATTCCTCACTTTCTCTCTCTCCTGCCCCCCCCCTTCCTCCCTCTCTCTCCCTTGTGAGCATACACATGCCCTATAGCAAACTTTTAAAAAATTGACTTTTTCACTAGGCCTATTGCCCTTTGGATCCATCCAAGTAGTTGTGTATCAACTTCTGTTTCCGGTGGGTTACATATACATGTTTTAGAATTTCATTTTGATTCATATACTGTATTTTAGCATATCTCTTTGTACAGATATTTAATGGTTGCTCTAGCTATTGCATTATATGTACATAACTTCTTACAGACTACTGGTTTCACTGTTTTACCAGATTAAATGAAGTATAGAAACCTTACTTTCTCTTATATTCCTTACCCTCTCCTTTTTATAATATAGTTGTCTTGGGGACCAGCAGGTGGCGTGCTGGTTAAGGCACTGGATACTCCCACATGGCCAACCACAGTTCAAGTCCTGGACCCTGGTGGCTTGCTTTCTCACTCCCCCCCCAGCCCCCCCATCTGTCTGACTCTCTCTGGTCAAATTAAAATAAATGAATGAATAAATACCATTAAATAATTCTTTAAAAAAATAATACAGTCATCTTAATATTCTATAGACATTGAGAACTTCATTAGTTACTATTAACATTTTTGCTTCCGCCTTCAAACATGATTTAGAAAACTCAAGAGGGTTTTACCCTTATTTTTATTCTTTCTGTTGTTTCCTTTTGATGTTCCAAAATTTTGTATTTCCTTCCTGTTTCAAGAACTTTCTTGAGCTATTCTTTTTGATGTTGTTAGTTTTGCTGTGGAGCATGTGTGCTCACCAGCAGAGTGAGAGAGAGGGAACATGAGAAATCAGCCCCCGGGGAGGGGGCATGCCACAGTCCCTTCTTCTTCCTTCTTCTCTTGGAATTTTGGAAACACACACACATGTGCCCAGCGTGTTTTTTAAGCTACTGGGTTCAATCCTCAAGCTGTGAGGTTGGCCGTGTGGGATCCAGTTCCCTTAACCACCATAACACCAGCAGGTTCTTGCTATTCTTTTAAGATACATTTGCTGAAACAAATCTTTCAGTTTTCTTTCATAAGATATAGTCTAATTTCTCCTTCATTCCAGAAGGATATTTTCAGTAGGTGGAGAACTCTGGGTTATCATTTTGGTCGCGACTGAGAAATGGTACCACTTTCTGCTAGCCTCTGGTTTCTGACAGGAATCTGCCGTCATTCTGTGACATTCTGTGACCTGCATGTTGTGTCTTTATCACACTGCAGCAAGTCTTAGAGGCTCTGTCCACTTGGTTTTTTCTCCCAGCATATTTTCTCTCTGTCGTCAAATTGGGTAATTTCCATCTTCCATCTTCAAGTTCACTGCTCTTTCCTCTCTCACCTTCATACTGCTATCAAACCCATCTTTGAGTTTTTTTAAGTAGAATTTTCAGTTCTAAAATTTTGTTGTTTCCATTTCTTTCTTTTTTTTTTTTTTGGAGAGGTTTTTGCTATAGGGCACGTGCGCTCACCAGACAGACAGAGAGAGACATAGAGACAGAAAGCGAGAAATCACCCCCCAGGGGGGATGGTCACGCCGCAATCCCTTCTCCTCCATTCTCCTCTCGGGATCTTGGGCATGCACGCACATGCGCCCGGCGTGAGTTTTAAGCCACCGGGTCCGGGACACGAACCGCGGTCGACTACGTGGGAGTCCGGCGACAGCCATTACGCTAACTGCTGGTTCCCACATTTCCGTTTCTTTATTTCATGTCTTGTGTTTCTTTGCAGAGACTTCCTGCTTTTTTACTTCTTTTAAGTGTGTTCATAATTGCTTATTGAAACATATTTATGGTAGTTGCTTTAAAATCTGTTAGATAATTTCAACATCTGATTCCTCTTAATATTATTGTCTGTTGGCATTTTTTCTCATTCCCTTCAACTAACTCTAATACCTCCAGTTTTTCACATTGTCTGAAATGTTATGTTCACATGTTTTTGCTTACTATACAAGGTCCTTCCTACTTTCTCCCTATTAAATCATTTTATTCTCACCACTCCCCAAATTCGCCCCATGTCCCCTCAAAAATAGATGATGTACAATTGCAAAATCTCACTATGGCTCACCAAATACTATGGCAGCCGTGGTATGTATGTTTTTATCTCCAAGCCAGACACAGCCACTGTCATACCCACACCAAAGGTGTCTGCAGTCATCACTGATTTTTGGTACCATGCCTGCGTGGGTGTTTTCAGGGCAGGAGACTAGAGATCATTGTCAGGTAGAGGATCATCCTAAGCTACGTTGCCTTTAGCTGACACAAAAAGGTTGATCAGGGTCAGCTTCATAGCATCATGGTTAAGGTGGGGAGCTGGAACCTCTGGCCAACCGGCGTTCAAGTCCCAGCCCTGGTGGCCTGAGAAACACAGTGTGTGTGCATCCATGTGCCAGATCCCAATAGAATGGAGACACGGGGGAGAAGGGATTGCAGTGTGACCATGCTCCACTAGAGGTTGCTTTATCCCTCTCCATCTTTCTCTCTGGCAAATCCACATGCCCTCTGGCAATTAGAGGAAAAGGCTTTATACAAATGAGATGCCTCCTATGTTTGTATTAGCTGTTATATAACAGATTACTCTCAAGCAGTGACTTAGAGGACCCATTTTCTCATGGTTTAGGGGTCAGGAATCTGGTGCTGCATGGCTAGATTCTTTGTATCTGAGACTCTCACGAGACTGCTGTTATCTCCATGGTTGCCTGAGAACCATCCACCTCCTCGTTCACTCGTGGCTGTGGCTACATTCAGTCCCTGCAGCTAATGGACTGAGGCTTCGGTTCTGGAAGAGCTCTCAGCCAGAGGCCTCAGTCAGTTCCCTGCCTCGGAGGCTGCTTCATAGAACATTGTACAGCATGGCAGCCAACTTCATCAGTGAGCAAGTGAGAGGGCAGGGGAGACTGCTGGCAGGAGGTGCGCTAGCAAGAGGAAGTAAGTCACAGAGGTGATGTCCTGTCACTTTTGCTGTATTCTCTCTGTTAAAAGCCAACCACAGGGGCCAGGCAGTGGCACAGCAGTAAAACATGATGCTCTGCAAAGCTGACTCACATGAGAAGGTTCCTTGTTCAAGTCCAGAGACTTCCCTGAGTATGGCAGGCATGTGCATGCCCGTGATCTGGGGCTGCCTGAGGCTGGGGTGGATTGTAGCTTCAGGACCTTTGGGATTATGTTTCTCTCTCTCTCTCTCACTCATGGAAGAAATAGATAAATGGTCAAATTTGAGGTGGGGGGAACCAAATACTAGGCTCAGCCTGTACTCCAGTGAAAGGGATTACACAAAAGTGAACACCAGGATGTGGGGAATCTTTGGGTGGCATCTCAGAATTCTGCCTACCATAATCATTTTGAAACATAGAGAAAATTGTGTAGTTACTTTATGAACACTGGCAACATGAGGCTCACACTGCCCAGTACTAAAATGATTC